TTCCTTGCTTACTGGGAGTGTACTCGGAGCCACCGGGACAGGAAGCCCCGGTGAGGCGGGCTACATGCCCCCTGACCCGGCCAACTACAGCCAAGCGGTGAGTGGACCGGATGCTGACGCGTGGAAAGAAAGCATGCGTGACGAAGGACGATCACTGGTCGAGCATGACGTGTTCGACTGGGTAGACCTGCCGGAGGGTGCTCAGGCGCTTCCGGCCAAATACCTATTCAAGGTAAAATACAACCAAGACCGAGAACCTGTTCGTCTCAAGAGCCGCATTGTGGTTCAAGGTTTTCACCAAGCTGACACGGGCGAAGATAAGGCAGCGCCTGTGGCGTCGATGGAAACAGTTCATCTATTTGTCGCTAACGCTGCTCAAAACGGTTTTGTTCTAAAGCAAGCCGACATCAAGACGGCGTTCCTGCATGCACGGGTCCCCAAGAATGCGAAACCGTTTTTTTGTAATCCCTCCGAAAGGATTCGAGTGTTCTCCGGAACAAGCACGGCAGGTGTGGCTGCTTAAGGCGTGGCTGTACGGGCTGCGTCTCTCCCCGAAAGGCTGGAACGGCACCTTCCACGAGTATCTGATGGAGATCGGATTCGTTCGGAGCCCGGCGGATCCCTGTCTATACAGCCTCAACGCGGGAGAGGTTCTCCTTCTCGTGTACGTCGACGACATCCTATTTTCGGGGAGCGACGAGGATCTGGTGATGACAGTTATCGAACAGCTGAAGGAGCGGTTCGACACGGTGTACCTTGGAGATGCGAAGTTCCTCCTCGGCATGGCGATTGAAAGGAACATCAACGCCGGGGTGATCCTCTTTTCGCAGAACACGTACGCGAACGCCGTGCTTGACAAGTTCGGAATGGCCGACGCTCGCTCGGCGAAGACTCCGGCTGAGCCCGGACCGATCAGCATCGTGGAGGAGGCGGTTCTGTCACCAGAGGACACCACGTATTTCCGGTCCGCCGTAGGAAGCCTCCTGTATCTCAGCCGGGGCTCGAGGCCGGACATTACTCACTCGGTGATGGTACTAGCGAAGAGCATGGCGAAGCCCGGTCCCAGAGCAATGGTGAAGCTGAAGCGGGTACTCAGGTACCTAAAGGGGACGACCTCCATCGGGATCACATACCGCGAGGACGCCGACGACGGAGACAACCTAACGGCATATGTGGATTCTGACCACGCCGGTGACCTAGACAACGGGTACTCCACTACCGGTGTTGTTTTGTACTTTGCAGGTGGCCCGGTGGAATGGACGGCGAAGAAGCAAACGGTGGTGGCTATATCGACGGTAGAGGCCGAGTACGTCGCACTGTCAAAGGGGTGCGTCATGGTCATCCACTTCCGGAACCTGCTAGAGTCCATGAATCAGAAGCAGGAGCAGGCAACCGTCGTTTTCGAGGATAACTCTGGTGCTGTGTCACTCAGCAGGAGCGCGAAAATCACCCCGCGCACCAAGCACATCGATGTAAAATTTCACCATGTTCGGTCTCTTGTAGAAAAGGAAGTGGTAGATGTCGAGTATATCGAAACCAACCTGCAGAGGGCGGACATCCTCACCAAGAGTTCGGGAGCTGTGAAGTTCCTGCAGAACCGCCTTCTGTTGCTTGGAGTGTGAGCATGAGTTGGAGATTTCGGTTGGAAGAGCATTCGTATGATAAGAAGAAAACATTTCGCTGCTTGAAAACTATGGCAGTTAGTGATATCATTTTTGAGTTATTCAGAAAGCACGTATTCGTAGACATTTGTTCGAGAGGACACTGATACCGTTTTGAGAGGACATTGAGAGAGAGAAGATCGTGTCTTGTATTTCAGAATTAGAATGCCGTAGCTCTTGAGAGGACATGTCAGGAGTATTGTAGTGCAAGAACTGACTCTATTCTACTGCATGGGTTTTGTGCAGTATTGTGAAGGCGTGACTTCAAGTCTGTAACCGTCAGGTGAAGGCAGGCTTGGTCGCTTTGTATGTTAATGAATCACTCTGTGTTTATCTACCCGAACTGCGCCACTACTGCCAACTACATAGCAGCACACGGCAGCCCAGACAACTGCTGAACTGCTGTCACTAATAATCTAGACACACCTACCTATGGACTTGCCAATACACGGCGCGAAGGGCTGCAGGGCGGCAACTCCACGACTTGCCACTACACCAGCATTTGCAAATGATCAATCAATGATCAGTGAGAACGCCTGAAGACTCAAAAGGGTTCACATGCATACGTGTACAGCAGTAGTCTACAGCAGTAGTCTGTACACGGCCTGTGAGATCAGGTCTTGCTTACTGCCTGCTGTGGCCGATCCTTGCATCGGTGGCCCAACGAATGTGCAGCGGTTGTAACTTTGCATAGCACAGGTTTAAGTACCGTGTGTGGTGCATACGCCGCAATGTTTCGTGTGCGCACCGCCGTTTTTGGCATGCCGCACCCCTTTCTGGACCCGCACGCAATGCCAACATTGTACGAAATTGGCATGCTGCTGTCGGTGTACTATGTAGCAGGGTGGGTCTCAGCCGGAAAAAACGCGTGGACGACAAAGTGAAATCGGGAATGTCGTGGAAGAATGACAACGCACTCGCGGATGACCAAGGGAACTTCCGTTTCTTGGAGCGCGTGAGGGAAAGTATCGATGTTTTGCTATCTGAGATAGCATGGAAGACGGTGTGGCACTCGGTGCATGCTCGGAGATGATCGAGCACGATAGGAGATTCAAGCACGTGTTGGACAGCGAACATACGGACGTCACCCTACCGGTAAGAGCACCAGACGTACGCGCGGAATTCGGCATATAACCGTCGTCGTCGGTGCCTCCCCGCCCCCCTCCTTGATGCCGTAGCACCCCCCCCGAAAAAATACAGTAGGGTGAATTTTGCGATTCGGTTGTATGTCACTACCCGTCAGAGTTGACGTGCCCATATTATATCCGTATCTTACCGTATTTGGGACTGGACCCGTGGTCGGCGTTTGGCAAGACGAGTGCATCACGGTGTCATCGGGAGGGCTCTCCAAGTGCTATCATTGTTTCTTTTCCTCCTCAAGCTTCCCTCTTTTTTTTTTTCCTTGCTGGCATAGTCGGAATGATCCTCTTGTCTGTGCACCCCCGGGGTGTATGACCCCCCCGGGTGTATATGGAAAAATCCTACCCCATTTTTCCTATTTACCCCCGAGATGGCACAATTTCAATTCCAGAGGCAAAGTCCATCCCCTTCCAGAGGGGGAACGGCCCCAATGACCACGGTACTTCATGTCTTGGTCTAAGCGCGCAATGTTTCGAGCATGACTAGCCAAAATGGTCACTGCGAAGCACAAGGTAGGTGTACTTGCGCGAAAAAACTGGTCGCGTTGAATGCCTTTCCAACACCCTGTGTAGTGAGTGAGCAATTTGTGTGCAACCATGAAACGCCCACGTCCGATAGGCACACCATGGGAAAATATGATGCAAACAGAAACCCAACCGCCTCCGGTCGTTTTGTTCAGGGATACGAAGGCTTGTTGAGGCAGCCCGTATGCGTGGATGCAACAGCTCAAGCCCTGCTCAACGGGGCGAACAGCGCGGACGGTGGGGGCAGAGGGTTACCCTAAAAACCCATGGCAGCAATGCTTGCTATTTCAACGTCATTGCGTTGGGGGTTTTGGTGCCAAGTGCAAACCCCTGGCGAAGCGCTGGGGCTTTCTCTGTCAGTGCGTGTAGCCGTCATCCGGGCGGCCATAGTACATTTGCAGAAATTCATCAGCGGTCCCGAGTACGGTGGCTTCTACTGTACGCTGCAAGTGTAATCCGCGAAAGAAGTCGCGGGCGCGTGGAGGCTCGGGTGTAGCACTCCCGAGGTCTTGGCAGAGAGTAGCCCGAGTTCTGTACCTGCTTGCCGTGCGAGAAGTCGCTGACGGTGATTGCATCATACATGCTCAACGGCACTGACTTTACTCCTACGCTTTTTGGCTTGACTTCTTTTTTCATGTTCCAGTCATGCTTCGAGTTAGCGAAGAATCCCGAAAACCACATTTTGCCAAGGCACAGGGCAGCGAAACAATAGAGGATGGGGTGGTCACCGGTTTACATTTGGAGAGGCAAGAATTGGTTAAGTTTGTTGCGCTTGCGTACTTCGTCAAGAACAACAGTTTGTTTGCTAACACGTTACCGGGGCAACGGGAGAAAAACAGGGAGGGGAGGTTGATGATATGAGGCGGTGAGCCCAAGCGATTCAGGAGCGAACTGATGAAAATTGGTACGCCGGGGAACTTCAGCAAAGCCGCCCCGAACTACGATGCCACCGAGCTTTGCGTTCTCCGGATGTCGTGGTTGGTAAAGTACAGGCTTTCCGTTGTGCCGAGTGGTTCTCCAGGTTCGGACGTCTCCGCCAGGTACCCTTCGGGATGGGGTACATCGAGAACACGGAGGTTGAAGGTGGTTGTACGATGTTGATGCGCAGGTTCCCCAAGGTGACAATTTGGCCGGGTGGATTTGAACGGTGTGAGGTGCATGTGTTCATCTGGGAAGAGGAAGTAAGGGGGTCAATGCACAAGCTGCGTGTGCACCACTACAGGTTTTGGCCAGTGCTCAGAGTTGTGCAAGTGCAAGCTTACATACCGCGAGGAAGAGATGGAAGAAAGTGAGATGCAGAAAGATCGGTCAGCTGAGGGAGGACTAGGGGACATGGAGATAGTGACAGCGACAGCGACGAGGAACAGCTGCTGGGTATGTTTGGTTCTTCGACCAGGAACGCCGAGTCGGGTTTGAGTGGAGGCGTGGTTTCAGGTAGTTTTATGGAGGATGACGTTGAAGAGTACGAGCAGCTAGATGGAACGCGTTGCGGCATCATGTAGAACAACAGTTGAATCTTGTGAGCGATGCGACCAATGAAAGGTCCACTTGAGATATCGATGTATTGTTCGTGTGCGGGTGAGCGAAACGTTTGTGGAGCTTGCATGAGCACACGTTCAAAAGTACGGCATGGATGGTGGCCCACGTGCTGGCAGGGGCCTTCACTTCAAGGATGATGTAAATCGACCTCAGTTTTTTTTCTGCGCAATGAACACGCTCAAGAGCTATCCCGGATTCATGCCGCCACAACAACACACACACAAAAAACTAAACGCGCCTTAGCACAATCAAAACAAAAACATGACACCAGAACTTATTACGTGCACCGATACTGCCACATCCATACATTTGCTGGTATGCTTAGAGCACGTCCCGAAAACATGCCCAACTTCGATCGGTGCTCAATCATGTCGCTCTCCGACTACCCCCCATCCCCGAAATAAATGTCTTACGACACCTGCATATCTACTCCCACAACCAATAATTTTTGGGAAAAGTTTGGCGGGGACGTTACACCTTGTACATGTCCCAACCCAACCAACCTATTTCGAAAGCCAAACTTGCACGTCCGACCATACTGTGCTCGAAATTGCAGCCGTGCTATTCAGGACAGAAAACAAGCCTCGTCCTGTTGCGGCAGCTCATTTCCTGAGTATACCACACACCCCAGAATTCGCTAGTCTTCGCATTGTTCGCACGCGTGTATTTGGCTCTGCGTAGAAACACACACAATGACGGGGGGTTCGTTTGCAGCCAACCACCCCAATCGGCGCAAGGTTCCAGGAAAAAAATGTGCATTTTGAACGTCACGCCTTTTGTCGCCAACGACATGGCGGCCTTGACAAAAGTCAGAGCCCTGCTGTACGGAGGGCTTGTCGCCACCCACTCAGGCCTTTTCCCAGAGTAAGCTGCGAGAAAGTCTTCCGGGAATGACTCCAAGCTTGCGTCAAGGTTGGTATCCGCCGGGCGCCTGTTATCGAGAACAACAGCAAAAAAAAATTCAGCGATCGCGCACATGATACGGAAAATAAAACCATGTGACAGAATGTTGCCGTTTCGCCAAACGTGTGAGACTCTCCCTCTTCAACAAAGACACCCACCGGGTTTACAATAGCAACGGTTATGTTCGAGAAGGATGCCCCCCATACGTGCTACAAGGACTGTGGCCCGTGCCTGTCAAAATTTCACACGACCTTGTGCGGTTGAGGCCATGCGGTACGGAATCTGTCTGTCAACCGTAGATTTTAGCTTGAACACATCGGACCACTTGGTACATATGGCAACAGCTAAGACTAAAAACCAACCCATGAAACGTCTAGTCCCAACGGTTATTAACGTCGGGGGGTAAGAACAACCCGGAGCGAATTCACTTTAAAGAGCGGGGCGAAATTTTCGTATCCATGAAAAATGCGTGGCAAGTACAACGCCCTTACCCCGAGCTTACGTCGTTCGTGAGAATCTCGCACGTGGATCGAAGACGGGTCGCGACGGCGTCCGTGGGCCCACCGCACATGTCCAAAACGCATCCCGTGATATCCACAGCACCCAGAGAAGCATCCATCGCCTCAGGCGAAGTGCAGTACCTATCAAGCCATCGACGCCTCAAGTGCGTTTGTGGTTCAGGAGCAGTCCTCTGACCCTTGGCATGGCGAGGCGTCCGAGCTGCCATGCGCGCTCGCCGGTCTTTACTCCGGTCCTCGCTAGCCCTTTGCTCGTGCTTTTTGTACAGCTGCAGCAAGCAAGCAGGACGTTTACACAGTACGAGGGCGCTGACGCCTGAATTCCCCTCGTCCAAGGCCGGAAACTAGTTTACGATGCCGACCTCCTCTGCGAAAGCCCGGACTTAGATGCTGGTCCTTGGCCGCATGTGTCGGAAGGCAGAAGCTTTTCCTTCGCGGAGGCATGCGGTACAACGGGTCCCAGTTGCCGACATAGGAATACAACCTGTTCAGAATCGGTAAACACTAAACCGAGAGTGGTTAGACAAACGAAAGAGCATTTGAAGAGTTGTAAAGACTGCAGCTCATCACTTCATAGCTTGTGCGGCCGCAGCGGCAGCACAGACTCACGACCGGCCGTAGCAGCTGCGTCGGTTGAGGAAGTTCCGCCGCGTTCTGAGGCACAGGTGCGTGAAGGTCTGTTTCGGCTTTAACAAAGCTGATCCAAAATTCTAGAAAAGATATATCAGGTCTATGATTATCAATCACTCCAGTCTCCGAGCGCTGGTTCAGTTGGTCAACTTTTCGTGGGGTCAACCTGTCGTCAAAGTTCGCCTCCCAGAGCGGCGGAGTAACGGTGCGACAAGCAGGCCGCCAGACGGCTTCAGGTCAACGACTCGGTTTTCTCCCACCCAAGGAAACCCGTACCATACTGAATGGATCTCACATGTACTATGTGATGTTCTTGAACTTGTTGCCGAGTTTCGTCTCCATCCTCCATCTGAGCTTCGAGTACTGACGTGCTGAAAAAGAAGTGTCGACAAGGGTGACCCCATGCACGCAGAGGGGGCTCCGCAGATGTTTTTATTTTGCACCTGGTACCTGGTCTCTTCTAGGCCTATATTTTTTAGTTTTTCCTATGGGAGCAACACGTGTGTGATCTTCGAGTGAGTGACACCATCATGTGCCAGCCCCCGGGGGTTTCGCCAAGTAAATAGAAAAGACGCGTACCACATTGAAATACGTTTGAAAACTGAGGGAGATTGCATGCCCTACGACTAAAAGGGTGCCACACACAAAACGCCCGACCAGTACCTACCACATTTCTTCTGCACCTTCCCAACATAACATATATATATGCTACACACAAGACAGCTACCAAACTGTCTTGTTGAGCCTGTTACCCGCAAGGGAGATGTCCCTATATGCTGCCTGGGAAACCGTAGACATGCAGGTACTTTCTGACGCTATGAATTCATTGCTAATCTGTCTCAGACTCTTTTCTATGATAGAGATAGATTCGTTGTGTCATATTTATGAAGAAAAAAAGAAAGATCTCCATCCATTCATTGATGGTCCCAGTCCATTCACGTCGTTCATTCCACATGAAAGATTCTCTCGGGGTCTTCAGCCTCTTGCTCTTCATGTCGGAACACCATTTATCGGGACATGCCTGGGGAGGTGTGCAGCCCACATGCACAGCCTAGCTTTTCACCGTAATGAAACTACGCAGCAGTAGCGCTGTGCACAGCAACCTACAGTGGCCCTCCAATGGTGCACAAACCT